ATTTCGTAGTTTTGGAGTATTTGTTTACCTGAAGCCCTGCAGCTTTTCAGAACATTTTAAAGGAAAAAAAAAAAAAAAGAGAGAGACTAGCAGCATAGGTGGCCTGGGCATCTTCCTTTTTGAAGTCGCCTGGCTGACAGTGTGAAAAAAAAAAAAAAAAAAAAAAAAAAAGAACCCTCTGTGTTTGATGAATGCAAGAACCAGGTTTCCAAGCATGGAAAGAGCCTTTAGAAACACAAGTGAGGTTTTGATCCCTGGCCCCGGTGTCATCCATCTTGGAAAGCTTTCTGTTTTTATTATTTTAAACAGGTCAGCAACAGTGAGGTGGGAAACTGTAGATTTCAAAACAGACGTCTCTAGAGTGCTTCAGCAAAACATTGTATGATTTCAGACGGGAATTTAATATTGGCCTGGGACGCCTTGCAAACTACGCTCCTAGCCTCTGAGAGAGCAGCACCCCCAATCAGCAGCCGTGACATTTTGTCCCACACTGGCTCACGGGGGCTTCCTGGGACACCTCTCCTGCAAACAGCTCCTGTGTGTGGCTGGGGGCTGGGGTCTCCACTTTAGTGCTTCCCCTGGGGCATGTCTGCAGGCCCCCAGTGCCGTGGTCTGTCCTCACATGTCCTTCCCTTGAGACTCTGCGGCCCTGTTGGCCACTTGTGGCCACGATGCCTCTGGATGCTGGAGGCCCCTGAGACGACACGGTCAGCCCCCGGCTGCTGTCCCAGCCCAACAGAGGAGGGATTGAAGGGTGAATGGAAATCATTTTCCACTTTCGGTTGCATGTCAGATTAATGCGAGTTTTACAGCTCACTCCGATGTATTTAGCACCACGTGTCTGGGGTATGGACAGGAGGGCAGCAATGCTTTTTGTTTCCTGCACCTGCGTACGTGAGAGCCTGAGCTGGGCCCCGTGTAGCGCTGTGTGCCGACGCTCCGTCTGCAGGAGAGGAATTCGGGAAGAACAACAAAGACCTCTTCGGAGAACTTCCTTACAGAAAAGGTTGCGGTCGTCTTGCCAGCTCTCAAAATTAAAGCTATGTTCCAGTCAAAAATGCCTATTCAGACCGACATCAAAGAGAAGACTGTGAGCAGGTCAAGGAGTTTAATTTCCATGGCACTCGCGCTTGTGATTCACATGCGGGGCGCAGTAATGACTTACATGCCCATTGGCAATAACGTGACAGAGGGCAACGAACAGAGGGAGAAATGAATCGGAGGCAACCCAGCGGGCCTGATGCCGCCCTCAGCCAGCAGTGCGGTGTCACCTTCATGACAGCCTCTGTGAGCACCGGCGGCCCGGGTCGAGGCCTTCAGAAGGGAGCCGTGGTGCCCCTGCCCGGGGGTGTCCCCTGCCCAGGGGTGTCCCCTGCCCGGGGGTGTCACCCCGCGTGCCACCCGGCGGCCTGGCGCCAGCACACTCCGTGTCGCTCTCCAGAGGCCAGGCCCTTCCGATCACCTCAGGCTGAGCGCGCTTGGGCCCTCCTGCAGAGCTGGGTCTCGGCGTCTGCTTCCCGAATCATTCGAGGCATGTTCTCCTACCGGCCTGTAGCCTTCTAGATGTCTCCAGTTAGGCGAAGGACTGTCTGTCCAGGTATGAAGGCGGGAGGTATGTAAACTTTTTAACAGTGTCTGTATGTTCTCCTACTACTCCTTATTTGCTTTTCTCATGGGACGATCCAACGAGGCATTACAGACTGTTGATAAATAGATTTTCAGCCCATTTCGTTTAACCATTACTGCATTTCCATATCAAAGATTTCACGCTTGGCATGCCCAAGCCTATTTTATTTGTAATCTTTTCTCAAATGAGAACTTTGGAATGTTTTTTCATTACGCGTTTCATCTGCAGCGTTCTGCCTTCGTGTTATTTTTAAGATGAGATCTTTTACTCTACCTCGAGTCATTCTACAACTCGTTGCCTCTTATTTATTCTGGCCTCCCAATCTAACAGAATTTCTGTGTTGAAACTTGTTGCTATTTTTTCCAAGGATATACCATATGATGTTAAGCCTGCGCCGTGTATCAAAGTGCAAATATAAACTAGTTGATAGTCTCTGGTCACACCCTGGGTAGGTGTGGCGGTTGGGAATTTTTTGCTTTCTGGCTGGAGATCAGAATGTGCTTAGCATGGTTCCCCATCCAGCATCTCGGTCGGGAGGGGACTGGCTGCTTTCTGCATGTATGTTGTTTGAAGGGTTGGGAGCCAAATAGTTGTACCGCTTCCAAAAACAGATTTTTACTTGTTTGGCTATATTTAGAGCTGCAATCGGGAGATCTGAGGGTATGATAATCTGCTGCCTCACTGTCTTTCTCCTTCCTCTCATTCTCTCTCCCTGTCACTTTGCGGGTAACAGGATGGACGAGCGTAGCTCCAGTGTCAGCCTCAGGCATGGTGCAGAGTTGCACTACTCCAAGAGAAACTCCAAGGAGGAAGTGTGACTCAGAGAGCTGCAATTCCTTCCACGGTTCCTCCTTGTTCCAGCCGGGGAAGTAAGTTACTTCAGCATTTGTGCTGCTAGACTACAGCATGCTTCTCCCCAGCTGCTTGCAAGCCTCAGCTTGCAGGATAGAAAGAGGGATAAGGGTCTGAGCCAGAACTGAGGCATCTCTAACGTGTGAATGGGGGTTTGCTTCCTTCTGCTCCTTGGTCGCCCACGTGAGACAGGGACCACTCTGTCTCCAGGCAGAGTTTCTCTGTAAGCAGTCCCCTCAAAGCCACCCGCCTATACTGGCTTTCCAGTCCTTTTGCAGAGATGCACGCAGCTGCCTGTCTTGTCAAGCATCTTTCACATTAGTATCACCAGCAGTGCACTAACTGTCGGACAACTTTACACTCTTTTTTCCCTACCCAGACTGTAACATCATGCCTGTTTTTGCGCTTAATTTTCACAGTCTTTCATCCAATAAGACATAGCCTCAGTCAGGGTAATGCACAGCTCACCAGACACTTCTGAATTGCCTTTCAGACAATCAATTTCCCACTGACTTTTATTTTCCCTAGTAATAGTTTCTTATACTCAGAGACTGGCAAAGGATTTGCAGGCAATAATTTTCTTGCCAAAACAGAAACACTAATCAGAGTACTCATAGTGAAAGGTTCATAATCAGTATTTCTTCACTTGGAGTGCAATTGCCAGGCCTGAGAACACCAACTGGTGTATTTGCAAATGATGCAAAGGACTCTTCACCCGCTTCACATTCTGCTCAGCATTGATACACTTTGGAAAGCCATACAAAATTCACAGCATTTTTTTTTATACTCTGTCATGCAGAAATACTCTCTTACAGTACAAAGGGATCTTTCACTGAGGACTATTTTTAAAGAATTTATAACATGACAGTAAAACGCTGTGTTAACTGAGACAGTGTCAAGTAAGAGCAAATGCTAAATACTTCAGTGATGCACTGGTCTGAAAGATAAAAGGGTCAGAAAACCAGAGGAAGAAAATAATCCATATGCACATCAACTAGGCGGTCCAGGTAGAAATAAAACCTCAATACTTCTTGCTGTACCCTGTAGATTTACTAGGCAGAGTTTTTCAGGAAGTGTTTTGCAAGTACAAGACCAGGAGTAAGAACTGACTTAAGAAAATAGATCCGGCCCTCATGTGGTGTTCAGCAGCACAGAAATGCACACACACATACATACATTCATACTTCCTGCCCGAGTGATATCAGTTTCAAAAATAGCCTCTGAAAGAAGATTCATGCTATTGGACCAGCTTCTGATTTCAGTAAAGTGGACTGAACAGAGATCTGAATTTATAGCTCCATGTGTGATTTTCTGCACCGACGTGTATAAAGCTCATCCTTACGTTATGAACTTTGAGTGGCATCAATGCTAATTCACCTGCCTACCTGACAGAGATCTACAGAGAGATATGGAAAAAGAAACATTATTCATCTGAGCTGGTCTTTATTCCTAGAACAGGGGAAATAATTGATGCAAATGAAGCATGCAGTGCAAATGTGCAAAAGTTACTTTTATTTTACATTGGTTTATTCAGGTATTTTAAATAGGCTTAGTTAAAATAATCAGTTGAGCCTTTTTGACAACTTTGTAAGAAACCCTTATGTGGCTAATTCTTAAATATCATCAGACAGCAGGCTGATTGTGTCCGAGTGCACATTGTTGCCCCAGGTAGCAGATAACTTCCTGTGTTGAAACGATGACTTGAGAGCGATATACTTGCAGACAAGGAAATATCATCTTCCAGCCCTGCTGTGTCTTAAAGTAATCTATGAGAACTCTTTCTAGCTCAATGCCTGTGTTTAGCCAAGGTATTAGACGTATTCAGGATGTATGAAACTCATACACCTTCTAAATTACTTGATGGTTTTGAGTTCACATTGCTAGGTAATTTAGTCAGATATCTAGTGCTAACAATAATTGGATATGCTGAACTGCCAAGAAAGTTGCTTGTCTAGGTATGTAATAAATGTGCTTAACGGGGCTTAATTATACAGACAGGCAATGGGCACCTTCACCACCTTCTGTAGTTAATATCCTGTTCCCAATGCTTAGTAACATGGAACAGCACTTTTGAAATAGGGGAATACTTTGGAACAGCAAACATTCATATTTCATGCTTTGGCAGTCCTGAACATACCATCAAAAATGGGAAAAGAACTTCCAGTGGATCAAATCACGTACTCATTAGTACACAAGTAAATTCAAAATAACTCCATAAAGTCAAGACAGAGGAGAACTTGACTCTCCTCAGTAAATACTTCCTTAATAAAATTGGATGAACAATTTGCTGTGAACAATTCAGTGAAAATATCTGTGTTTTGTATAGCCTTCCTTTTTCTTTTCTTTATATTCCTCTTTCTCTTTCTCATCCTCTTTTTAACCTTTTCCACCTTCTGATAGCGTGCATAGAAGGCCTAAGAAGCTAAATGAAAGCACAGGCAAGAAACAGATGACAGAGTCAGCAGTTTCACCAGGATAAAAGAAGCCATTGCTAGAAGTACAGAAGATAGTAAAATATCAATAATCAGAATGGATTGCTAACGGAGGAAGGGTTCGTTCCCTATATGGGTTTGTTTCCTGAGAATTCCCCTTGACTTCTACATTGTATAATATATCCTGAACAAAACACAGCTAAAAAAGGAAAATAGTAACACTGATTCTACCCTAAATAGCATTTAATACTGCCCATCGCTGCAGTATCTGAGAACAAGATATACTATTGCTGATGCAGTACAAAGTTCATGGAATATCAAGTGTTGGTAATCTGTGCTCTGAGCCTGTGAATGTATGTGCAAATGGATCAGATCCACAGCTGGCATCTGTCTGGCTCCAGATCTGGTCCAGTAAGTTTCTAAAGAGTAGTTCAAGTCAGACCATTGAAAACTTCCAAAAAAAGTCCCAGGGCATATGACAGAAATGGCCAAGTGGGACAGCACAGTAGAAGAAAGAAATCCTGTGGGTTCATTTCTTTAAAGCACAGAAGTCATTAATCATTTCTATTCCTCGCCATTTGAAACAGCTGCCTGCCTGCATTTGCTAAGTAACTGCTTTCCTAACCACACAGAAACGAGGCTGTGGGCCCCAGAACGCTTATGCTTCCAGATATTAACAAATAATTTCCCTCTTTCGCTGTGTCAATGAGAGCACGTTAGCATCCTTAGCATCTGGTTTTGGTCGTGAAATAACATGCTAGTGTTTCCACACTTCATGAATTCCTTCCAAAAATCTCGCTTAGTGCTTATCTTCTCAGCTGAGGCTTCAGAAGTTCAAAGGCATGACTTGAAAATCTCAGCGGCCTTCTACCTTTTACCGGTGACGCAGAACATTGCTCTTTATCAAGTTAGTAAATAATCTCTCCTATCATGCTTATTTGCTCATCTTCTTGTAAAACTGAGTTACATTTTCCATGTAAGCTCTTTACTTCGAAAAGCACGCTGTCATCTCTACAGGCTATTGCAATTAGTGAAATGCCAGCCAGCAGGTGGAGACGCATGAAAGCAATCTCAATTCATAGACAGGCTGCTTTGACATTTCATTCCCATAGCCCTGGCCAAGCACTAGAGCGGGCCAGAGCCAGAAAATATAGCTATTGGTTTCATGGAAAAGTTCAGAATTAAAATCTTGGATGGCTGACAAACATGTGACAGAGCAGCTTCTGCAGCATGACTGCTGCACACAAAGCCGCACTAGCGAGCTGTCCCGGCAGCACCTTTCATGTAGCAGTGCGTGGTGGAGGGAGGGAAGCCTGCTGCTGCTCCCTCCTGACCTCGCTTCATTCACTTTGTTCAGCAGTCCGGAGCTGCCTGTCAGTGTCAGCTGTGCCGAGTGATGCAAGGAGCCACGCGCGCCTCGGTTTGTGCGGGTTCGCGTTTGGCCGGGTGCTGGGCGAGGACGGGGCTGTGGTGGCCCAACACCCAGATGCATTTCCACCTATTTGCTGCGAAAGTTCAGCCTGCGATGGCATGAAAACAGCTTTGCTTCCTCTGTTCCATTCATAACTCCTCCCACCCAGTGTTTCCTCTTTCGGAATGGAAACATCATTGTAATAGCTATTTCTGAAATATCCCTGCCAAAATCAGGAAGTGCAGAGGAATACTTAAGTGCGAGGAGGGGGAAAGGTAGCTTGCGAGTTATTTCGGGAGTGGGGAATTTGTTCACATGAGTCTGGGAGAAAAGCCGAGGATAATTCTGTGTTGTCTTCAAATTAGATAAGTTTCTAGCTCAAGTGTCTCCATGCTTTAGAAACTGTAGGAAACTGCAGTAGTCTGTCTGCAGAATGCTTGTGTCAATGCAGCGTGCACGTGGAGATATGGAAAGAAGGAAGGAGATGGTGTAAAATTAATAGAGCTTTGAAACTCTGCAAAAATTATCTGCAAGCTTTTTGAAAGATTTCAGTGTTCGAATGCAGGACATACTGGCAGATAGCATTCATTGTGCAGATACTGGAAAATGGTGTCTAGTTTTGCACATTCAGACCCCTCAACATGTAATTGTTTGTGGTGAATTATCAGTTTGATATTCTTCCTTGGAATAAGAAAGGCACTTCAAACCTTGCAGATTCAACTTCAGTGCTTCTAAAGAAACACATTTTGCGGCTTTTCCGTCCTTTTGGATTCTTCTCCTCCCCTCTCTACCTCATCTCTTGCACTTTTCTCTTTGGAGAGCAGAGTTTAACATGCCATTGAGGAGATAGCCTGCATGCAAAGTCCCTCAAACATAAACACACTTAAAGAACAGATTCATCACAGTGTGTTTCCTAATGTGGAAACCGCATTCCATCTGCACCCTTATCCGATGGTCATTAGCTTAGATGTTGAATGGGCATTCCTTAAAGTGAAGATTATAAAAACATACATACTGCTCAACAGCGATTCATCAGCTTCCAAGCTCTCTCTGCTGGAGAGCAATCGAGCTCAGAGTGACTCAGGCTGGGGACTTTGGGAATGCACGGCAGGAATTTGCTACATCGAGTCTGCAAAACTGCCTTCAGATGATTTCTCTGGCCATTTAGAAGCCCTGTGTTCATTTGACTCAGGTATTTTTCTGCATTTGTTTTCTTTGTAAAAGTTTGTTGTAACTTAATGTATCAGTTATGCATATTTTCAAAAGCTTTTTTAGATCCTGGCCCTGATCTTTCATTCAGGTTTGCAGCACTGTAACATCAGTGACTTCTGTGCTGTTGCCCCGACAGAGGAATCGGCGTCCGCGTGAGCGTGCTTGTCAGGAGTTTACAGATGACAATGGTCACACGCGCACACTGCCTGACGATAAGGCAAGTTATCACCACTATTCCTTGACCTATTTTTTAGCTTGTAAATAACTGGGTCTAAATTCCCAGCCACAAACTGAAGACATTGTTTATTGATCTATTGTATAGGATTGCCTTGAAAGAGTTAGCATTTATCTGAGGTGACTCACAGATTGGTCTGATGATGGATGTGTTCTCTAGTTTGCTGTGTGTTGAATGTGTGTATATCTCCCTATATATGAAAAAAATATTCACTATATATACATACATACATATTTATGTATGTATATATATAGTGGTTTGCTTTCACAAAGTAGCCTGTAGAGCCTTTCTTTCCTTTGAAGGTTGTTTTTTAAAGAATCACTGTTAATCGAATAAAAGTTACTGAGGCAGAGGAAAATAAACTACCTGGATTACTCCCTGTGGAGCTATCAAAGACATTAGAAATAAAGGACATATTATTATTTAGGGCAGTGGAGTAAGGGTGCAAAAGGAGAACTGAATTCAAGTGAATTATGTGGATATGTGTATGAACATATTCTTGATAAGCTCCTTACTACATGATGCTTCAGTTCTCTGTTTCTTAACATAGGGAAAGTGCTCAACAGCCTTGTTAAGAGGATAATAATAATAACAAGAACAACAACAAATTTGTGAATGAGCACATACTGCAGACATGACAGTAATGACAACTTACTCAGAAGTTACACAGTTATGCCTTCTGCCCAGACCTTGCTATTTGATATAATTTTGAATCCTGCTGTAACCAATACGCTATTGCAGATGCCTTAAAATGCTGGTCTCTGTGGCACCTATTTGAACTGGAATTAGGTCCTCATTACATTGTGACAGAAGACAATGAGAGTAAACTAAGGATAGAATCACAGTGAAAGATTTTAGGGCAAAACACCAAAATAGTTGTCCTGGGCTAAAATGAATCTCTAACAGCACTGTACTCGCACCTATCAGATGTATTAAAGAAGTAATAAATGTTTGATGAAGTACCACTTAGAAAGGTGTTTTGGAAGCACCTATTTTGTCTACATAATTACTGTTCAAATGCAGGCTGTGAATATTTGACATCTACTCCCACTGAGTATCACCAAGCTGCTTGCTATTCACTGCAAAATAAGATTACTATGATTTTATTTCCTTCTGAAGTGCGATTGCAAGTATTTTGAGATCCCTCTGTTCCATTGTTAGAGTTTTACAGGTCACATGGATGCATATTGTACCTGTATATTAATGACAACATTTGGTTTATGTTATAAACTTCTCTTCCCACAAGTACGTGGTGGTGTTGTATAGAATGCACATTCCCATAATCATTTAATATGTTTTCAGTCTTAAAAATAAAGTTTATATAATGAAAATACAATATAATTATACACATGAGAGTTCTGGTTTGGAAGAGGTTCAGCGGAATTCTTTGATAAAACAAGCCCCCAACCACAAAAACTACATACAGTGATTTGACAGTCAAACATATATAATCACTTATGCTAAATTAAAGGCAGTGTCACCACGTTAAAAGCAGCACATTGAAATCCCGTATGTCAGTTTTGGCCAACGAGTGACAAATACTGTAAGTCTAACCAAATGCATCCTTGAATAAACTTTGAGCAGCTTCTGAAAAAGGTGCTTAGGGTGGTCAGTTATATAAGGAAGGGAGAGTGCCAGGGATACATTTATATAGACTTATTTTATGATGATACTCATTGAGCTCTCTTACACGGAGTCAGCAGCCTAATCCTTTTTTGCTCCATACCAGTTTCTAGCACCCAGAAATAGACCATATGAGGACTCTCAGAGGGCTCAAAAGCAAAAATTCATCCAAAAATTATCTTGTTGGGCAGAACCAAAAGGTTAGTGAAGTTACACACCTTATTATTGGTATTTTCCATTTGCTGTTCTTGCTAATATCTTGTCCCAAAACACACGAACCCATTTACACTCCACCAAAACTGTTTGCCTGCTTAGAGAGTCCATGGACACCAAATTTTGTAGCTCCACTGAGAGCAGCAGGATGATGCTGATTTGCACCAGATATGGATCTGGCTCACAGCATGTTCCAGTCTGAATTCACAAAGCATGGAGTAATGTGAAACAAGGAAGTGACTTTTGTGAAAAGCATTTTGGAAAGGAAAACCAAAAATGATGGATATACCACTGGGGCAGAGGGAGTGGAGCCCGCCTCAAAGAGGACCTTGTAGAGCTGCCAGCCTTCCCACAAAATGTGCTGCTGCTCTCAGAGAGGAGGGGGAGGTTTCCCCAGGACAAATGCAGCCACACCAAGCACCCTAATAACTACTTTGTAGATATTTTTATGTACCATCACATCAAAACCAGACTGAACTTCCAAAACATTTGAATTCAACCCATCACTGATTAATGGAAGGAGGAGAAGGAGAATGGGTGGGAAGAATAGTCATTGTGAACAGCCATAACACTGGGCAGTAAGCCACGCTATTCAACAAATGAGACAATACATTAAAAAATAAAACTTTGTTTTCAGGGGCCTTCTATATATATCAAGAGCTTGATTCATAGACCACTAAAGTTAATGGGAATCTTTCCTTTAACCAACTACTGATCAAGCTGTTACAGAAGAAATGTTAATACAGATTTGTAATTACTCAGTGTCTCAGTATTAGAAAATTACAAAGTCAAATACATCATCAACAGCTGGTAATGAACTGTAACTGATTACTCAGAACACACAGACATTTTGCCCACCTGTATGTACTGCATTTTACTGCAGAAGCTATTAGCACAAACCAATACACGGAGATTAAGATTTAACAAAAGACAAAAACGGTGGATGCTTACAAGAAAGGCCAGTTAACAATTTGTGTTCCATCTGGCATTAAAAGCTCTATAAGCAGCATTATTTGAGGGAAAACCTTAATTTCAAATATTGCATACCTTTTTACAGCATTTTTCTGTTTCTTGCCCTCTGGAAGCAATTAGCTCAATCATATTACAGCTCTTAGATCTTCAGCTATGCAACTGCCCATATTACCATTCCAGTTAAATATGCAGCAGAGCCACTAGTCCTTTGTGGGGAATGGGATTGTTCATTTCAATGGGAGTTTGGGGTGGGGATAGTAAATCATCCTCTTTCTGATCCAGATGTGCTAATGGACAAGGTGACCTTCCTGCTTTTACCATTAGTTTGCTGGAGGTTCTGCCCCCACCCATCTACTGACAGAGAAGTCAGTATGGGAATTTCCAAATCACATGAAACTTATCTGTACTAAATTAAATTCTTGATCTAATTCTCAGTCAGGGTAATTCATTTCTCCTGAGGTCCATAATCAATTGAATTTTACCAAAGTCAGCTCATCAAGAAACACTGAGTTTAGCGGATAGGTAGGGACAATGTGCTGCTTTCACAGGTAAGAAGAGTGGCAGCCCACCCAAGCTATGCTCTAAGACTCAGAGAATAGTAAGCAATATGGGATCTCTCAAAAAATGCAGGGAACATGACACACGTGACCTTTTGAAAAGGTAGACATGATTTCCCTGTAGGCTGCCATGTAATGCAGGCTTGGATTGAAATAATCTAGTTGGTTTTGCCCAAAGTGGACAAATTAGGACAATGCTCTGCTGATGGGTAAGTTGAAGGAGTAATGTTAGCATGGGTGGCAAACCTCCTATGTGGATACAGAAGGAAACCGCTATCAATAGCCTTAATGTTAGTCACCACATTCAAGGAAAACCATTCCTCTCTCTCACTCTTTAAAGATATTTCCTCTAGGATGTTTTTTGACCTTTTTTAACCATGTGAGACACACCACAGTTACAGGCTCTGGATCAGATTCCTGTCATATAACCAAAAATGTGTAGAGAGAAATTAACTTCTGTAGTAGAATACCAGGTGAAAGTTGGTGGCTTTTCTGCATACTCCAAATCTATGATGGTTAGATCCTTAGACATATTCAGCAAAACCTCTTGAAGGGTACACAAAACTCAACAGTTTTCTAAAAGAGCCTAACCGCATGAGATTGCACTTCCCTGACGTAACTGAAATCTATCCCAGGGCACTTGCTCTCTGCCTTTGGGAGCTCTGAAACTGCAGCTCTGCTGATTGCACCAGCTCCGCAATTACACTCATGCTTTCATTCTCTAATCACTTTTTTTCCCCTCATAAGTTTGGCACTTGTTAATAGAAAACAGATACTTAGTGTCATTAAGGATCAGGGCTAAAGACTCTTCTGGTGCAGAACTTTGTCAACAAGTCAGCTGCAATTCCACTGAAGCACAATTCAGGTGTTTCTACAGTCCAGGAAATGCTTGGATCACTTTTTCCCTTCCTCTTGTATACAAATGCAAGCATATTTAATATCCTGGACACCTCTACCTGATAGTGTTGACAGAAAGTGGCACTGCTGACATTGTGATCAGTTGACACTGGGAAGTCAAATGGCAGGGGCAAATTAAGGTGGCACAGGCATGATTGTAGATATTTCTGGCCCTTCAGTGACAATATATGCCAGTAAACAAACAAGAAAAATAGTTCTTTTGGTCATACTTAATGTAAATATCAAAAGGATTATGTCTGATTTCCAACCAAGAAATGTCAGGTTCAGAAATTTCATTACAGCAAACAGGAATGGTTCTCATCTCATTCAATTCTACACTTATCTCTACCTGAAACTTTTCAGAGATGTTGATGCTATCACTTTCTCCGCTTCATAGCTGGAAAGAAATTTTTCTTTTAATCTGAGTTTTCTAGTTTTTTGTTTATTTGTTTTTAATTTGAGGCTTATTTCCCCCCTTTCTTGTTGGAGAACAAAGGTTTAATATGAAAATTTGACCTTGTTTGAAGCCAGCTGTGGCTCCTCATCCAAAAGGTAGTTCATAGGCAGGTGACTTTTAATTTGACTCAGGAAAAGATCTGTTAAACACAAGCTTGCCAAAATCGGGGTGCTTTCCAAAGCATGTTCATGTTAAAAAGAATTAAAAAGTAAGGAGAAATACAGATAATACCCAGGTAAAGTAGATGGCTGGAGAAAGGCAAA